ATAACCTAGCTCCACCGTACCTCTCAGACCTCCTTCATCCTTCAACCTCCACCCGTTCCCTCAGGTCCTCCTCCTCCATCCACCTCTCAGTCCCACCTTTCCGTCTGGTCACCATGGGGAGCAGGGCCTTCAGCCGCTCTGCTCCCCAGCTCTGGAACTCACTTCCTCCTGACCTCCGTAACATTGATTCCCTCACTCTCTTTAAAACCAGACTCAAAACTCACCTGTTCCGTCTAGCATTCCAATAGTTACTCTCTTTGCTCCAATCTGTCTGTTTGTTTTATGCTGTTTTATCTTTTATTGTTGTGTATTTTATCTCTGTAAAGTGTCCTTGAGTGTTCAGAAAGGCGCTGTTGAAATAAAATGTATTATATATATATATATATATATATATATATTATATATATATATATATATATATATATCACAACATTTTTCATAAAAATCTTATAAAAAAACATATTGTGTGAAATGTGTTAAAAACTGTTGTGTCTTGTAGATGTAGTTTAGTAATGCAACTCAGAAGTAATTTTGAGTAATTTGGTCAATTAAGCATTGGATTATTTTGGTACTTGTTTACAAAGGACTAGGAATTTGTTGATGGTCCCTAAGCGACCCGCCACTACCATTAGTGAGTCTCTCAGCTAACTCAGCTAACCACCGTTTGTGGCGCAGCACAAGGCATGAAGACTTGTCGCTGATGGTAGCGAACCAATGCCTGTCGAATATCCAACTTCAACCTAACTTCACCGTGGTCAGGAATTGCTGGTTTTCACGCATGCTTGTAAACCTCGGATGATCTCCTGATGATGGTATGTGACAAAAGATTTATTATGAGAAATACTTTGAAGAAGTTCACAAACTGCGAAGCCACAGTAGCGTTTGTTAAATTATCTGTTTCTCCACAGGTCCAAGGGACCCATTTCACAATAACAAGTGGAATATATCCTCTATCCGTGCTTCTCGAGAGAGGGTTTAAATTAGATGTTGACTTGTGTGCATTCTGTAAGCCAGAACAGGGGTGGACATTAACTTCAAAACCAACCGGCCAGCCGGGCCGGTAACTCTGAATATTTACCGGCCCCACCAAGAATCTACCGGCCCCACTGGTCAGCTGCCAAAACAAGTCAAAATAAAAACGGAACCGTTTTAAATGTAATAAACCTTTATTTTGTACACATTCACAAACATAATAACGTATTCAAGTTTGAATTTGTTTGTTCCGTCAACAAAACACGATTTTGTCGTCGCATACTTCCGGCATACAACGCAGTACATCACCAACTCCGCTTTGCTGTATTCGAGCCATTGACTGTGTTCGAGATGAGCCAGTTCTGCGCAGGTTAGACCAGCGGTGATCGGCGAGCAGTGCATGCCGGTTAGATTTGTGTCCGAATTGACGCCGACTTGCTCTGACGTCATGCATATGTAGGCAACGATATCCTCGTGAGATCAAGGCGGCCGCAGATTTTGGAGCAAGGCGCTGCAGCTGCTCTCCCTCGGCTGCAAAACCTAGAGGATGACGGAAACGCCTGGCTCTCACCTGATCTAAGATCTGATTGGTTCATATTTTGATCCAAACATCCGGTGGTAGAACATGAAATGTTAGTTGGTCACATGTATTCTGTAAATCATGTTACGCTGATAATAACAACAATATAGGCCATAAAGAGAAATGTGTTTTGTTTTCTTTTGTCACGTTTCCTATGAGCACACTAAACCTACAGCTGCTAACCTTTACTTATTATTACAGTCATGTTTTCATATACAATATATGATATCCACAAGCACGTGAGGATGTGTTTCAGCTGCTAACAGGCACCAGAATTAAAATTGAAAATTGAACAAGTGTGAATGCTAACGCGATATCTTCATCCATCGTCACCCCCGAGCTACACATGTAGGAAAATCCAAGAGATTCAACTGGCAGAAACAACTGGTTCACACCATAGTCTCTCTCTCTCTCTCTCTCTCTCTCTCTCTCTCCTCCCTCTCTCTCCTCTCTCTCTCTCTCCTCTCCTCTCCCTCTCCCTCTCTCTCCACTCACTCACTCACTCACTCACTCACTCACTCACTCACTCACTCACTCACTCACTCACTCACTCACTCACACGTAGAGGAAAAGAGCTGAGGAAATTGAGGACACCAGGTAGTTAAAAGAAAATCCACAGCGGAGCCGAGGCGCGCCTCGAATGGGGCGCGTCTGATCTGAACTGAGGAGCGGCGAGCAGCGGCCGGACTTCGTGAGCGATTCGCTTCGGGCGCTTCCGCGGCCGGTGTGTCCCCGGCGAAACGCCGTCTTTCAGCCACTCCCCCTGCTGCTTCCGTCTGCTCTCGTATGTTTTCCAGGCGAGGCGCTGCTCAACTCGAACACGGCCATTCTCTGCGCCTCCCGTCTTCTTTAAATCGCCAAGAATCATTCCACCTACGCACACGCTTCTCTGCTTCATACCGTTTCGAACTGTCTCGCTTCTCCTCACCAGTTTTAAAGCGTTTTGCCGGAGATTTCATCAAGAAATCCAATCCCTGGTGGCGCGATCTTCCTGCGTGCTTTTGTGTTTCTAGCGTGGTTCCACTTCGTCTTTAATAGTGAACTTATAGTTCACGTGACTATAACTAATCGTGCAGTACGTGCACGAATCGTACAAGTGCAGTAGGTGGCTAGAGGCGCGCAGGTTCACGCGCGCGAAACGAAAACGGCAGCTTCCTACAGGGCGGGGCCATGATGTAGGCGAAAGCCGGTGTGTAAATGACAAATAAGGCTTGGGCGCCACCTGGGCGGTAAGTCGTCAAGTATTTACCGCCCGACGAGAAAATTTAGCGCCATTGGCGCTCGGGCGCTTTAACGGTCCACCCCTGCAGAAGATGAATCCCTGAAACATTTGCTTTACTCGTGCCAACAATCACAAGTTTTTTGGAGGACATTAATCAATGGATTGATCTCAAACTTAATATCGATTTTCTGAAGTTGGTGATATTCTGTTCTATGTGAAGGACTTGAATGCATCTTTTCTGATGCTATTAATATAGTCGTTTTGTTGGCCAAAAACTAAATCCACTGTAATAAATGGAGGGCTAACAAGCCCTCATTCCCCCAATTTTAAACAAATTTAAGCTATTTTATTCTTCACTAAAGTACAGGACCAGAGCGTTTGCAAAACGGGATTTGCTGCGGCTCCCTGGGGAGGATAAAGGTCGTTTATAAGATCAGACCGTGGCGGTAATGTGGCAATTTTATAAAAGATTAGGTGATGGCGGCATAAAGGGGGTACGGGGGCGGTCTCTGCGCTGCCGCAGACTTCCGTTTATCTTGGACATAACTTGCGGAACGAACGCCGCAAAATTGGCGCAACGCCATGCCGGCACGGCGCGTTTGTAGACACACCATTGCGGTAATATTATGCTGATTTGCCGGCATGGTGTGTCATAAAAAGGGCTTAAGTAGAACAAAAAACTGGAAAAATGCATAAACCATCTCAAGTCAAATAACTGAGAACTTACTGTTTTCAGTTTCCTATATAAATAAATAGAGATGCACGATATATCTGCATCAATATCGGCAGATGTTAAGCTTGGTTTATGCTTGACGCATTCACTTTCCTCGCGGTGATGCGGCTCGTGGATGGAACGCGCTTCACCACTCGCAGCGTTTATGGTTTGTGCGGCTCGTCTCTGTGGTGAGCCAATATTCTCCCAAACTGTAGGGGGCAGCATGGAGCTCTACTGCATGCATCCAACACTACACCATAGTAGAAGTAGAAATGACTGTTGTTTACAACATGGTATTCCAGCATTTTTAACAGCGTTCTCGTCTTTTCCGACAGTGCGAGCTATAACTCTCCAAGAATTATTAACAACATGTTGATCACGGTGATCTCTGAGAGCTGAATCATACAAATGTCTGTATTTACCAACCTCTGCCGTACTAGTTCTTGCCAGTCCGCCATGTTTTTCCGCGTCCGACCGTCTGCGTGGTTAGAAAATTTCCTAGGTGCGTGGTGCGGAAATCTGGGGCCGTGCGGAGACGCGGTGGAGGGGCGTGGTTGTTAAAGTGACGCAACTTTTCCGCGCGGAGCCGTGCGGACGCATCAAGCATAAACCAACCTTAAGTCATTTTTAACAAAAAGTGGCCCGATATTAACCAGAAATTTTCCCATCTTGTTTCCATTTGTTTATCTGTTTCAGAAGGTGAGGGGGGCGATGTGTGTTTTAGTCATGTGACAGTGATCATCTCAGAAGTGTAAATGTGTGTGGTGTGTGTACACAATAATGTAAATTCAGCTTTAATAATTTTCATTCTACACACGATCTGTAGATTTCACAAGCATTAATGTCAGTAAATAAATATTGGCAAATATGGGTTATCTGCCATAAAAGTATGTAATGGCCAATAAATGCCACATCGGTGCATCACTATAAAAAATGCTTCTATGCTATTTATTAGATTTGCCTTTCTTTGATAAGCTTCACATTCTCCATGAGTTTGTACTTTATTGTTGTACTTTGTTCAAAAAAAAAATCTCTGACGATCTCCGCTGAGCTAGCCATGTACAGTGTGTGTGCGTGCGTGCGTGTGTGTGTCTTCTCCATCCCCAGTGAGTCGTGGTGGATGGCTGCTTATACTGAGCCAGGATCCTCTGGAGGTTTCTTCCTGTTAAAAGGGAGTTTTCCTCTCCACTTTCGCTGCATGCTTGCTTAGTATGAGGATTGCTGTAAAGACTCTGACACTAGTCAGTGACTCGATGCGACCTGCTGGGTTCCTTATATAGGATACTTGTTACTGATTGGCTTAATGACCCGACCTGTGTTGGGATGTTTACTGTGTGAAGGTCCTTGAGACGACTCTGGTCCTGATGTGGAGCTTTATAAATAAACTTGAATTGAACCGGTGTTAAGTCGATATGTGTTCCCCCCTCAGGTTAGGGTTATTTTGTGAGTGGGTCGTTTCCACTCGCAGCTCTCGAGGGGGGAACACACATCGACATAACGCTTGTGATCACCTGTACTGGCTGATGTGGTTGGGCCGTCCTCGTGCTCAAGGTCAGTGAAGCCTTCTTGTGTTTTGCTGCTGCTTTCACTGATGGTCTTCAGCTCCTTCTCCAGTAGCTCCATGTCTCTGCCTAGTTGACCCACTCTGGCCTCCAGCTCCTGCTCGAGCTGCCCCGCTTTCCTCCGCAGAACATCCTCCAGCTGCTCCACTTTCGCCCGCAGAGCCTCGTTCTCCTCGGACAACTCCGACCACACCGCCGAGAACACTTTCTGGATCTGAGCCACCAGGCTCTTCTCGATCTCCTGGATGTGAGCAAACTTCGCCTCCTCGTTCGGCACCTCTTCGGTGTCCCTGAAGACAGACACGGTCGAGCGGATAGCGACTTCCACCACCGACGCCACTTCTTTACCGAAGCGCGCCTCCATGCTTTATGACATTTAAAGCTTCCCTGTGACTCACGTTAATCTTTAAATACAAATTTACAACCGAAAAAAGCTCAACTAAGATCAAAATGTCGACATGTTTGTAATCCCGTAAACAGTAACACTCGTTTCCTGTAAAGTGTGCATCTTTCTAAACGTTCCGTACTTCACTTCCGCTTCTTCCACATGGGGGCGGGAAAAAAGCGGAAGCTGACATCCGACACCGCCGCACTTCCGCCCCCTGCTGGCTGTGGGCTTTAGTTATGTCCACATTTTAATTCTTCCGAATTTTGTACGAAAATCAAACATTTATTCTTCAAACTAAACTTCTTGTTGAAAACCTAAAGCCGCAGTTTTACTTACTCAGTCAAAAGTTATTCGCATTTATCAACATCTTAAACAAATCTTTATATTAAATCTATTGACTCTTTTTGTTGAACATTGTATTTATTATCTGTTTGGTTATGTAACTGTAATTAAGGAGTTGTCTGTAATGGGAATGACTGCTCAAGTTTAAGAGTCATGTAGGTTTTTCTTTTGCCAACAGACACATTTGTATCTGAACTGGTTGGATTTATCTGAAAGAATATTCTCATTAATTCACTAGTTGAGTTGCCAGAGGGTTGAGACAGTGAGAAGTTACTCATAATTAATGTACAATTATGTTGAAAGGAAGAAATAAAACGGTGACAGAAAAGGCCTGCATGATAAAACATCTGTAATAAACAAAACAACATCATGGTAAGATTTTATTAGGCTACCAGTAATTATTTATAGATCTAAAATTTTCATAGCTCAGAAAATCTAAGTTTCATTTTCTCCTCAAATTAAAACAGCTGATGTTAAGCAGCTTCTCGTCTCCAGAGCTTCAATTCCCAAAAGTTGTGTTGATGAGCCCACGAGGCGTGGATGTTGAGGTGATCTGCAGGCTTTTGTTCTCAAACTGTGGTACAAGTCACAATCCTCCTTGTGACAACAGAGGTTAGCTTTTGCTTATGTCAGATTTAAATTCGTTGGGCTCTCCAGACTCTGACTTTTATTTTGTTGGGGTTAGGGTGAAAAAACAGACTAAAAACCCAGCGATGATAAATCAAAAAGCATTTATTTGTCATCATATCTGCGGCTGACAGGCCCATGTGAACAGACAGTAAAGACACAGTCAGGCAGGGCTCATCCAAAACCAAATCCAAACACTTTTCAGCCCGTTGTGACGTTTAAATGTGTCGGTTCATAAATAAAAACGGTGTCAGATGGTTTAAATTAGCGCTAGCCTGCAGCATGTTTCCACCGTGTGGCATGGGACTTCTGCTCATTCTCATCCGTGTTCATGTGTCCAACATGCATGTAAATGTTTGCATTGATTTGGCATACACTCCTAATGCTGATGCACAAAATGGAAAAACAAAAACAAGCGAGACACGTTTTGATCGGCTTAAGAAGTCTGAAGGTTTGAAGACGTAATGAGACAAAACAAACAGCTGATTTTTGGTCACAAGCCTAAAATGATCAACTCTGCTTTTGATTTCAAACATCTCAGAGGGACTTTGAGGCTTTGGAAACCTAAAAACAACGAGTGCATTTATCAGTGTATAAATATAGCAAAAATATGCCTTTAAAGTCCAACTGAAACAGGTTAATCCGCCTGGTAACCATGTTTTAATCTACTTTAATCCGACTCACATGCAGCAGAAACATACAAAACAAAATATTCTGAATTTGTTTTTATAAATCAGAGCATCATCTAAAACATCTAGGCAAATAAATGGATGGAGCTAAACAACCTCAGTTAAGAGAAATGGAGATTAGTTCTGACGGGACAGACAAGCTAACATGCTTGTGTTGCTTTAAGCAGCTAATCCAAAGGTAACAGCTGTTTATACGAATACTGTTTCATACATTTTAGCACATTACGTGATCATGACCCTCACCACTAGCTGCTGTAGCTCCTCTGGCTGTAATTTCATCACAAAACTGCAGAGATGAGAACTGTGGCATCAACAAGTCGTCTCCATGTCGTGTTTTTGTTCAGCTCAGCAACTGAATCAGGTGATTTCAGTCGGCACAGTGAATGGACCTGGTTCTGTTGCTGAGCAGAACAAAATCACGACATGGAGACGACTTGTTGATCCCACAGTTCTCATCTCTGCAAAACTGCAAGAAAAACTGCTGAATTTGAAATGTATGGCAACACAAATAAAACAGTAAGGGCAACTTAGTGCTATATTATTATCTAAATGAACATGTTATGTAACTGACCTCATAGTAACTAGCTGCTAGCTCGTCTGTTTGATCTGAGCTAATCTGATCTTGTCCAGACTGAAGTGGTTCCTGCAGCAGGTGAGATGTATGCTGTTCAGAATCGCTCCGCAGAAGCACGCTCCATAGACCCGAACACTGCCTTTGGCTGGAAAATAAAAGGTCAATATATTGGAGTTTTGATGCTCTAGTCGTTAACCTGCTAATGAGACACGTTTTGTGAGTGAAAGCAGCTGAAATGCAGAAGCAGAACGGCGAGCCTCGATGAGTCAGCGCTTCGTTTTCAAGCAGCTCATGAAGTTTGAGACGTTCTGTTATTTATGCTAAAGATGCCTGGTGGAGACAGCAGTTTTGTTTACCTTTTTCCCGCTACGATTCGTTTGAGGCAGCAAACTTCCTCAGGCTGACGCGAGCGCCAGCCTGAGGAAGTTTGCTGCCTCAAACGAATCGTAGCGGGAAAACAAGGTAAACAAAACTGCTCTGTGTTTTAAAAAAGAACTACAGCATGGAATTAGAGATACGACACAGCAAGAACACGCCTAAGATGCCTGGTGGAGGTCGGAGGGACCGGTGGCGTCTGTGCTCGGCAGCCTCGCCAGTCAGCGCGCCCCAGGGCAGCTGTAGCTACATCGTAGCTCATCGCCACCAGCGCGTGAACGGGTGTCCTTACTCAGAGAGGCGCTGTACAAGTGCGGGTCAGTTATCATCATTTAAGATGAGATCCTTTCTGATGTTCAGTCTTTGGAGGATGGATTAACAGGTAAAGTTTTTGCGTGACTGGGCGTGTCTGGAAGACTGAGGCGGCTTCTCGAGGGGACGAACATCTCCGTGTGAAGAACACGGACGCCAGCCGAACCTGAGGGCTACGGACCCGGGAGCAGAGTACAGCAGTACACGCCACACACCAGATTCTTGTGTTTTCTATTCACATCTAAATCAGATTCAACAACCAGAACCAAAACTCGGTAGTCTGATGTCTCAGGGAGACAGGAGCTGCCGTTCCGCTCCAGAAGGTCTCATTCATTAAAAAAAGACGCCAGATTTTGTGCTTATGACCAAAGAGAAGCAGGTTACAATGAAGTTCAAGTAACTTTATCGGTATAAAAGTATAAACAGTGTGAGTGTTTCTTTATCAGCTAAAGGCAACAAAAACATCTCCTGATCAACGAGGCCCTGGAAATCAGAATAAACTAGATGATGAAAACGAAGACCCAGTCGTTAAATGTGATTATTTAGATTCTTTCTGGGAGGCTCGGACTTATTTGGGTTCGTTCCTTTTTCATCCTTCTCGTTAGTTTTAAACCATCAACCTTACAAGAACCAGAAGGCAGAATGACGCAGCTTTTTTCACGATGCGTTCACATCAGCGACGCTTTTCCTCACAGCAACACGCCGGATGACTCAGAGGAAACTTTTGTGTGTTTTGGCATCTTTTTTTTCTGTTGAACTGTTGGGGGTTAGGTGAGATAGTGCAGCCTGTCTCACCTCACTGACAGACAGACACGGTGGAACAGACAGACAGGAAAACCGCACGCATACGGCTCGTCTCAGAGGAAATAAACAAACACGCAACAGGATGAGCTACTTTTACCACGCTGCCAGCGATCAGTAACAGCCTTTGAGTTAGTGATGCTGCCCATAGCCCCGCCCTCTGCAGTTCTCTGAAACAGCCACCAGGGGGAGTCATTGGCTCTGTGTGCTACAACAGAGACAGAGAAGAAAAAAGGTCTCCTGCTCCAAATCAAATCCTTCATGTCCGTCTGAGGAACGAGCCGGGGTCTATCCTTCACTTTCCACCCCAACAGCTGTTTGGAGGTCAGTGGTGGAGTGAAGGAGGAGGTGGGGGCGGGACTCCACCTGCTGTCTGTGGCCCCGCCTCCCAACCACACTTCTGACATTTTAATCCCAAAGCATCAGGAGGATCACTTCTTCTTACTGGACTTCTCAGAGCGTTTAGTGTCCGACTTTCCGCCTCGCTCTGACCTCTCCGACCGTTCTCCTCTCTCCTTTTCTTTGTCCGCTCGCTCTATTCGGTCTTCCCGGTCCGAGTGCTCGCCCCCTCGCTCCGACCTGTTGTCCACCTTGCTGCCGTCTCGCCGTGTCCCCTCGTCGGTGGATGAGGTAGTTGGTTGGGGCTGACCCCATTTGGCAATCTCCTCGTGCTCCGAAATACTGGTGGTGATGCTGCTGACCCACGCCTTCAGGTCCTCCTGATGAAGGACACAGCCCACCTGAGTCAGCTGATCGGAAAACTTCAAATGGGTTTTAAACACGATAAAAATAATCTCACCTCATCTTTTGCATGAAACAAAAACTCACTGCCATCCTTTGTTCTGCAATCAGACAAAAGCAGTTGAACAACAGTTAGAAGAACCTTTAAGTTCCTGTTAGGGGACACAGCGAGCTGGTGCCTACCTGGACAGGTAACAGGCCCATCACAGAGAACATTTTAGAGTTACACATTAACCAAAACTCATGACTTCATTGCTAGACGGCAACTGAGCTACCCGCCTGCAGCCCATCTCTATCCCATAAACCACCTGACTCAAGATGGCCACCACAAAAGACAGAAACGGCTCATTTTACAAACATCCAGCTAAACATTGAGGCACTAATGGATTTAATGCTTTTGAGGCTGTTAAAGACCAGTAAAGAAGATTTATTCTGCATATTTATGAAAAACTCAGATTTTTGCCATTTGATGTAAATTCTACTAAATAAAGAGGGAAATTCATCTTTTTTACAAACTCCTGGTAATAAAGTCTAAAGTTAAGGAAACCTTTGAATGATTTAAAGAGTCTGAATGATAAAAAAGCTGCAAATGTTAAAAAACACTTTTAAATGTTTTAAAAGGTGAGCAGAAACCAGTTTAAAGCTAAATAAACAGAAACCCTCACTTCAGAGTGAAGACATTCTTCTTCTTCTTGTACCCGTTGGTGACGTCGCACTGGCAGTGGGAGAGGCTGAGCAGGGGCTCGTTGTTGTAGGACGAGGTGGTGCTCTTGGCATCCTTGTAGAAGCCAAGCTCCCCCTTGTTCAGCACGCAGTACAGGTTGACCCATGACCTGCTGTAGTGTGGGCAGGCGGGGAGGGGGGCACACACAGAGGTGGGGGGTAGGAGGGACGGGGGTGGGGTGGAGGTTGGAGGGGGAGATTGGGAAGAATCAGGAAGAGCTGCAGTGTTATGGTCGCTAGTCTAACACCTGACTCACCTGACCAGAGCAGACAGGTAGGTAGGCAGGATGGACCAGCCCCAAGAAGGGAGGAGGAAACACACTGCTGAACAAACACAAATGAACGGGCGAACACACGGATGTCCAGGCAGGGCGGGGCGGGGTGGGGGGTTGGGATGGACAGACTGGCGGATGGATGGATGGGTGGACGGGGAGATGGATGGATGGGTGGGTGGGTGGGGCTACATTCAGCTCATGTGCTCCCTCTGTGAGACACCTGTATGACTTACCTTGGAGGAGACAAGAGAAACAGCCAGAAGCACAGCAGAGGAGGGAAGGAGGGAAGAGAGGAGTTTGGTTAACGGTCGTTTTGATTCCAGATGTTCAAACAAGGGTCATGCCCCCCCACCCCCACCCCCCGTGAGACCAGCTGTGGGTTCGAGCTAACAGCTGTTTCACCACCTTCAACATGTGGTTTATGAGATCTGGATGGGGGGGGGGGGGGGCATATTTAGGAGAAAGAAACATGTATTTAAATATTTCAACACTCCAGTGTGTAATTTTACTATTACTAATATTTATATTCACTGTTAACAATTATTACTACTACTATTACTACTGTTAATATTTAGTATTACTATTACTATTATTACTACTACTATTAATTTTTAGTATGAATATGAACTATTACTACTATTAATATTATTTATTACTATTAATTATTACTACAATCATTTCTCCGGCACTCACAGAGCACAGACGCTTCTGCTTTGCTCCCTTATCTTTTTTTCCCCCCAAGGCTCTTTTGTCCCGTCTGCCTACAGAGCGCTTCTCTGCACTTCTTCTGGAAATCCCTATTTTTCAGAAATGGATTTAATTAATTGGTCATTCAACGTGATTGATAAGATTTTTTCTACAATAACAACGGAGGAGGGGGCTCCCACTTGCCCTCACGGGACACACGCAGCGGGATATATGCTCGATTCCTGGAAGGAGTGGAAGATCGTATGTCTCTCTCAGTTGTCCATTGAGGACGTCGAAGACATGTGGATATTCGGCCTGATGATCACTGGATTTCTTCTGATTGGAGTGGGAGGATATCTGGTTTTCTGGAAATTTGGGAAGACGGGAGCGATTGGAGGGCGACCCGCACCCACGGGAAGCACCGCCCGGGTGGAGACCTCACAGACTGGGACGTTACTCGAGGTGAATCGTAAGCTGGACAATGTCTTAGCTGCGTTACCGGTGTTAGTGCGCATAATGGATGTCATCTCGGAGAGGGTCACCGGACGGTGTGGACATGTTTAATACCTGAATTGGCTTCACTGGAGGACTGGAATGACCAGTTACAGACTGAAGGCAGAGGGAAAATTATCTCTGCCTGACCCAAACACAGTCTTGTTATCCGAATCTGACGCCAAGGCAGCCTTGAGCTGCCAACAACAACCCCCACAAAGGAAGGAATGCAGACAGATGCTGTGAAAACCCGCCCCCCCCCCCACCCCCGCCCCCACCCCCGCCTTCAACTGTGGACTTCTGCCTAGCGGGGTCATCAATCTGCAGGAACTCAAATGTGCTCTGCGCTCCTCCCTCCCTCCTGCGGATACAGCTGGCTGAGCGCGACACATGGCTGCTCGCCCTGGGGAAACAGGATCCCAG